AGGTCCTCCCTGGCCCCAGGCAGGCAGGGATGGGGAGAGGCAGGGAGGAAGCAACTTACCCCCCCCTCTTCTCCTGCCTCCTCCTGGCTGAATGAGGGCCGGAAGCGGGGCGGCCGGAAGCAGGGGGCAGGGCTTCGTCATGTGCCCGCCCTCCCGTACCTCGCCCGGGGGAACTGCGATCCCCCCCGAAATGACCTCTGGGTGTAGCTATGAAAACGGTCAAACTGTTTCAAATGCCTTGCCAGCTCACGGGCTAGAAGGGCGCTCTGCTGAGGTTGCAGACTTAACCGGAGGCACAGGAAACACCCTCCATTCTCTCTCCCTCTCTCTCAAAACGATGGCTCACACCCAGGGAAGGCTGCTGAAGCGTGCCGGTCCGAGCGTCTGATTCCTTGTCCGATCTCCCCCCCCAGGTTCCCTTTGCACAACCCCGAGCGGCTCCAGCAATGGCTCTCGCAGCTCAACCAAGAGAAGTGGCTCCCGACGAAACACCAGCACCTGTGCAGCGAGCATTTCGCGGCGTCCTGTTTTGAGCACCGGTGGGGGGTGCGCTACTTGAAGCCCGACGCTGTTCCCACCATCTTCCAGACCTCAGATACGCCACCAGTGAGTCTGGCCCTTAGCATGAAAATGGAGTACATCTTTAAGTGAGGCTTCTGCCCCCCCCCCCACACACACAAAGGCTTTGAGTCTTTGAGAGCCAGTTTGGTGTAGTGGTTAAGGGCTTGGACTCTAATCTGGGGGGACGGGGTTTGAGGCCCCACTCCTCCACATGCAGCCGCTAGTCACAAGTTCTCTCAGAGCTGTTCTCTCAAGGGCAGTCCTCGAGAGAGCTCTCTCAGCCTGCCTCACGGAGTGTCTGTTGTGGGGAGGGGAAGGGAAAGCCACTCTGGTTCAGTGCACGGACTCTAATCTGGGAGAACCGGGTTCGATTCCCCACTCCCCCACTTGCACCTGGCTGGATGGCCTTGGGCAAGCCGTAGTTCTGATAAGAGCTGTTCTGGGAAAAAGAGCCGTTTCTGCCAAGAGTTCTCTTAGGCCCACCTACCTCAAAGCTCCCACTCCCTGGCAGTCTTGAAGCAGCGGCTGGACAAACCCTTGTCAGGGATGCTCTGTGGGCAATACCACCTCCTCGGGTGTGCTGGAACGACCCAGGTGGGCTGGAACGATCCAGGTGCAGAGCCACAAACTGCGTCTTCTTGTCCACTTCTTGAAGGTAGATTTCCAGGGGGGCGCTGAGCAATGTTCCCTCTAAGCTGTGGAGCCCTGTGAGCAAAAAGTTTACTTCGTGAGCTACTTGCATTAAAGTTGTGAGCGAGCGATTTGGCTACTGCATAAATTAGTTTGGCTCTGGAGCCATCCTTCCTGAGTGAGGACAAAAATGTGTGAGCTGGAGGCTAAAAAATTGTGAGCTAGCTCACAGTAACTCAGCTTAGAGGGAACACTGGTGCTGAGTAATGATTTTTTTTCTGGAAAGGGGGCCGAATAAGTTTGGGAACCTCTGCTCTAGGCGGGTCCTGCACTGAACCCAGGGGGTTGGATTCATCGGCCCGCATGGCCCCTTCCGCCTCTGTGGTTCTATCTCAGTTGGTGCCGATAGCGATGGGCGGCCCTGCGGCAGGCCTGGCGATCGGGGGGGGGGTAGGGGGGAGGACCTGTAACGCAGCGTTTCTGAGCCACGGCCGTCTTCTTTTGCTTCCCCCGCAGAAGAGGGAGAACACAGCCAGGCCTCCCTCGGAAGTGCCGGCTAAGAAGCTGATCCTCGAGCGCCACGGCGAGGAGAGCTCACCGGGGACGCAGGCCGCGAGCCTCCAAGAGCCGGAAGGCCTGGAAACCCTGGCCATCGCCCTCGACCCCGGGGTGGCCGCGGCCCCCATCTACGTGGAAGCCCCGCCCTCGGACCTCGACCTCCGTGCCCTCTCGGCCCCCCTCGTCGGGGCCGTCAACCTGGTGCCCCTGGTCCAGATCGTGGAGCCCCTGAAGGCCGTGACCCTGACCGTGGCGTCCCCAGTGGAGGCCGTCCCCGGCCAGTCGTTGCCGGACCCGGGCGAGCAGCAGCTGGTGGACTTTGTGGCCTCGCTCCCCCCACCGGCCTTGGAAGCCACGCCGGGCTCTTCCCTGGGGGTCTCGGGGCCGCTCTGCGCGGAAGTGGCAGCGCCCTGTGAGGTGGCGGTGGCGGAAGAGCCCTCGCTGCAGGGCGTGGAGACCGAGCAGGGCGCCCTGGTCATCGAGAACGTCTCCATCGAGCCCTTCCTGGAGGCCGACGCCTCCGCCCTCCTGGGCTCCCTGCAGGTGTCGTCGTCGGAGATGGTGGCGTACTTCGAGACCATCCCCACCGCCGCCGCCGCCGCGGCCTCCTCCGGCGTGGCCGCCCCCGAGACGGTGCTCTCCTCTGCCCTGAGCCTCCCCATCGTCTCCACGCTCCCCATCGTCTCCAACCAAGCCCCCCCGGGGGCCGAAGAGCTGGAGCCCGCCGAGCCCCTGGAAGAGCCACTGGAGGAGCACACCTACCACAGGGACGAGGTGACGACGGCGGAGCTGGTGGAGGTGGTGATGGGCCTCCAGAAGAAGGTGAAGGTGCTGCAGCAGCGCCACCGCCGGCACTGCGCCAAACTGGAGGCCATGGAGGGGGTGGTGGAGCAGCTGAGGAAGGAGAACCTGGTGTCCGAGGAGAAGCTGAAGCTCCTGGAGATGGTAGGTCGAGGGCGAGGGGGCGTCTCCGGGTCTCCTCGCGGTCGGGAAGCGGCCGACGGACTTCTCCGTGTGGCATTTTGGTCTCGGTTTCGGTATCGGGAGCAGTGCTCCCTCTAAGCCGTGGAGTCTCGTGAGCAAAGATCATAGAATCATAGAATGTTAGAGTTGGAACTGGGAACCTTGCAGGTCATCTAGTCCAACCCCCCGCACTCTGCAGGAGCACAGCCGAAAGAAAGTCCTACGACAAAGAGGGCCGTCCAGCCTCCGCTTGGAAACGTCCAGCGAAGGAGCCTCCACCACCTCCCAAGGCAGACTGTTCCATGGCTCGACCACTCTCACAGTTAGGGAGTTTCTCCTGATATTTAGCCGGTAACGACGCCCTTGTCATTCCCACCCATTAGACCTAGTCTTGCCATCCGGAGCAAGAGAGAATAGATTCGCTCCATCTTCTACACGAGAGCCCTTCAGATACTTGAAGACTGCAATCGTGTCCCCTCTAAGCCTTCTCTTTCCCAGGCTGAACAGACCCGACTTTTTCAGCCTTTCCTCATAAGACTTGGACTCCAACCCTCTCACCATCCTGGTTCCCCTCTTCCGGACACGCTCGAGCTTGTCAGCATCCTTCCTAAAATGTGCCCAAAACTGGACACAGGACTCCAGGTGAGGCCCGACCATAGCAGAATAGAGCGGAACGACCACCTCCCATGATTCGGACACAGTGCTTCTGTGAATGCATCCTAAGACTGCATTCGCTTTCTTCACAGCCACATCGCACTGCAGGCTCATGTTTAGCTTGTGATCCCCCAGAACAGCAAGATTCTACTTTGTGAGCGACTGGCATTGAAGTGGTGAGCGAGCGATTGGGCCGCTGCATAAATTAGTTTACTCCGGAGCCACGGGAAGGGAAGGGTATAAATCGGAAGTAAGAAATAAATAATGAGTGCCAGTTGTTCTCAAAGTAGAATTTTTGCTCACAAGGCTCCACAGCTTAGAGGGAGCGTTGCGCAGGCGTGCCGCCTGTCGCGCCCTCCCCGCCGTTTCTTGCAGCCGCGGTCACCCGGAAGCATCGCTTGAGACGTTCACGGTCCTCTCTGTTCTCTGTTCCCTCCCAGGCCTGCCTGCAGACCAGCGCCATCGTGCCCGAGAACGGCGGCACGGTGGCCATTATCTGCCAGGAGAGCGACCAAGCCCTGGTCTACGCTGTGCCCCAGCTGTCGGAAGAAGGCAACGAGACGGTCATCCAGTTGGCCCAGCAGTAACGTGGAAAGGGGGGCGGAGGCGGTGGGGAGCCGCCTGTTTGCCACTTGCTTGGCCAAAGGCTGCCCCTTCCAGCCACAAGGACCGCTACCGCCTTCGGCCGAACGCTCAGCGGCCTTCGTGCTCCGGCACCTTATTTTTCGCAGGGAAGGGAGAAAGGTCCTTCCTGGATCGCTTGGGTTTTTATTCTGTCCGAAAATGATTGTCTATAAAATTGTCTCGGTGGGAGAGCAAATGGTCAACCCGTCCCCCTTTGCCGTGGCCGAGCTCGGGGGGTAATGTGGCCAGCGGGGCGAGCGGTTCTTAATTCCCGTACGGTCATGAGCCAGTCGTACAGGATCCCCCGCTCTCGTGAGCCATAGCCGGGGGGAAAGCCAGAGGCACCTGTCTCAGGATGGCCTTGATTTTTGCACTACGCCGCCTTGGCTTCCTCAGTGTCATTCCTAGGAGACTGGACTCCAGTCCTGGGAGCACGCGTGCGCATGTGTGTGTGTGTCTTTGCGTAGTGCAGTCTTTTTCTACTCATCTCCGTCATCATCTCTGGCAGGGATTGGCAGCGCCTCAGCGTCAAAGTTGGGGATGGGGGGAGAGGTCGGTATCTCTGCCACAGATCACATGCCCAAGCAAGCATGCCGGGGGGGGGGGTGTTGTAAGGAACTGCCCTGGCTGCGGCGGAGGTTCTGGCACCTGGCGCAGGTGAACGATGAGCCGGGGAGGTGCGGGACTCCACGCATCGGCAAAATTACGGTTGCCCGTGGCCCCCTTTCTCTCCGAAACGTATCATGTGAATATCGTGGGGCTGCCGTTGCGGAACACCTTTTCTTAGGACAGCGTCTGCAGAATCTCGTACAACAACTCACTGTCAGCGGCCGAGAGTCGAGAGGGTATCCCAGTAGATCACGCCAGAGACCTGACTGTCCAGTTCGGTTTCTTGTGTGCAGCCTCTGTTAGGTGGTCCTCGTGTAGGCGGTAGGAACGGCAGGCCCGTGGGTGTGGGAAGGGTTGACGTTTCCTCCTTTTGCGGAAAACAAGCCCGCTTCTTCAGCGTCTGCTCCGCGGTGACCGCGAGGCCTCTGTGACGTCACCAGAGATACGTTTCTGTGGGGGGTGGATGGCAACCCTCTTTCCCCCCCCCCTGGGGTAGGTTTTTCCCATTTTGCACCCCTTGAAACACCTGCCCCTTTTCCCTCCTAGCATCGGAAGAACCCTGCCGACTCCATTCGGTCCATCTCATCCAACACTCCGCTGCCGCTAAGAGAATCAGAGCTGGAAGGGACCTGAAAGGTCATCCAGTCCAGCCCCCTGCACAGTGCGGGAAATTCACAGCTGCCTTCCTCCCCCCGTGACCCCCCCTGCTCTACGTCCACTAGTAGCCAAAAAGCAGGGCTCTTTTTTGTATCAGGAACTCCTTTGCATATTAGGCGACGCACCCCTAATGTAGCCAATCCTCCGAGAGCTTACAGAGCTCTTCTTACAGGGGCTACTGTAAGCTCTTGGAGGATTGGCTACATTAGGGGTGCGTCGCCTAATGTGCAAAGGAGTTCCTGCTACAAAAAAGAGCCCTGGTAAGATTAAATTCTTCTTAACCGGCCAAAGGGGCTTCCATCTGCCAGCAGTTGCGCCTCCTCAAAGCGCCCGTTCCTCCTGGCAATTGTAAAATTAGCAAAGGGAACTGTGTATCTTATTTTTTTTGCCGGTCGCAGTGCATATCATGCCTCCTAAAGCCATCCAGCTGACTTGCCGGGCCTCCCAAGTTAGCCAGGTGGTAACCGTCCTCCTCACGCCCCCCCCCCTCCCTCCCCATAGCAGGCAGGGAAAAGCAGAAGTCGCTTCTGAAATCACAGCGTGGGAAGGGCTTATCACGGTGTCTCCTTCCGAGGTCCGCTCAGGAAAGCCTTCTCCCCTTCTCCACGTCGGTTGATCTTTCTCGCAGCCAGGCAGGCCTTTCCTTCTCTCCTGGGTTTCCCCGCTTCTGCCGCGTAGGCGTCCTCGGGAAGCGCGGCCCGGACTTCGTCGTAGGGTTCCATTCCGTACTTCTGTCCTTTTGCCAGCAGGACTTCCCGGCTAGCCGCCAAAATAAAAGAATTTTGTTTCTGGATGAGTGCCTGTGATTATAAGCCCTTTTCCTTCCTTTCTAACTGGGTCTTCGGTTGAATGCTAATTCAGGAATTGGGGGGCGGGGGAAACGACGTTGTGATTGTTAGATGTTGGTGAGGGGTGGGAAGGAGGGGAGGAAATTTCTCTTCCTGTCCCTGTCACTGTGATGTGTGTCTGTTTACCAGTGTTATAATAAAGTACTTGGGGAAACGATGTATTGGTAGTTGAGAGTCTTTACTTAGGGGGGAGGGTTTGGCACCATTTGTCTGACACACACAAAACACACACACGAAGGGGCCTTATGCTAGATCGGACCCTCAGTCCATCAAGGTCAGTATTTTCTACTCAGACTGGCAGCGGCTCTCCAGGGTCTCAGGCGGAGGTCTTTCCCATTACCTAATGCCTGGACCTTGTAGCTGGAGATGCCGGGGATTGAACCTGGGACCTTCTGCATCCCAAGCAGAGGCTCTGCCACTGAGCCACAGCCCCTCTTTACAGCTCTCCAGGGTCTCAGGCGGAGGTCTTCCCCATCACCTCCTGCCTGGTCCTTTTAACTGGAGATGCCGGGGATTGAACCTGGGACCTTCTGCATGCCAAGCAGAGGCTCTTCCACTGAGCCACAGCCCCTCTTTACAGCTCTCCAGGGTCTCAGGCGGAGGTCTTTCCCATCACCTCCTGCCTGGTCCTTTTAACTGGAGATGCCGGGGATTGAACCTGGGACCTTCT